TATATGTTTGGTACGATTATGAAATATTGGATTGATCAATAATTTCTGAGCACTTTGACTATCATTGTATAAAATGATTTTACAACATTTTTCTGTAATTTCATCATACAAATTTTGTAGATAGCTTCAGATAGATAGAAGCTTCAGAAATAGCTACATATTCAGCCTCTGTGCTTGATAATGATACAGATTTCTGTTTTCTAGATTCCCATGAAATACTAGCCCCTGAAAGTTTAAAAATGAAACCTAAATGAGACTTTCTGTCTTCAACATCGTTTCCCCAACTGGAATCTACAAAACCTTCCATATTCTTATCATCTTTGCGAAAAGTTAGACAATAATCTTCAGTTTTCTTAAAGTATTGTAATACTCTCTTAGCATGTGCCCAATGAGTTGCATTATGAGAAGTATTACATTTACTAAGAAAACTTACTGTATAACATACATCTGGTCTTGTAAGAACTACTAAATACATCAAACTACCTATGAGTTTTTGATACGGGAAATTTACATTTTTAACATGTTCATATGAATTAAAATTTAAATTTACTTCCATAGCAGTTCTCTCAGTCTAACAATCTAGCATATGAATTCTTTTCAATATCTGATTTATATATTCTTTCTGAGATAATTGTATAATTCCTTTTGACTTCTCGAATAATTTGCATCCCCAAACAATGATTTGCTTCACCTAAATTTTTTATCTCAAATTCTAAGCTTAAACTTGTTTAAGATTATCCACTTCTTCAATATTATTTGGAGAAATAAAAAAATCATCAACATAAAGACCTATGATTACTAAAGAATGTTGAAAACCTTCTAATATATACACAAGGTTCATATTTAGATCTTTTATAGCCTAAATTCAGCAAGAAATCATTTATTCTCGAATTCCATGCTCGAGAGCTTTGTTTCAAGCCATATATTGCCTTTTTAAGTTTACATACCATTGTTGGTTTTTCATTACATATAAAACCATCTGGTTGCCTCATGTATACTGGCTTATCTGTACACACATCCAAATGTGTGATGTCTAAATCAAGTTTAACTGCTAAAGCAATAAGCATTCATAATGTACTGTGCCTAACAAGTGGAGAAAATGTTTCATCAAAATCTATTTCTTCTTTTTGAACAAAACCTCTAGCTACTAATCTGGCCCTATAACTAATATTACCTTCAATATCAAATTTAGTTTTAAAAACCCACTTATTATCTACTATAACTACATCTTGTGGCGACTCTACTAATCCCCATGCTTCATTTCTTTGAAATGAATGGAGTTCCTTCTTCATTGCTTCCTTCCATTTTGCAGCATCAGGTCTCGAAAAAGCCCCTTCAACATAAATCGGAGCTTTGTTCACATATATATTATCACAAGATTGACCAACACTTGTATAGGTGACATAATCTTCACTTTTTCGCTTTTTGAGGTCTATTGGATCTTCTAACTTTTTCTAAAACCGGGAGTGGTTCGAAGTTTACTTCTGGAATGTAGTCACTATCATCAGCATTTTGTATTTCTTCTTGGTCGTTAGAAGACTCCCCCACTGAATCCATTCACCGACATTTTTTAGCCTTTTTGTCAAATTTCCTCCTAGCTTGGGAACACTCGCGACATAATTATTTGCAGTCGACATTTTGCACTTATTTACTAAGGGAAAACTATTTAACTTGCCGGTTTTTTTTGCGGGTCTGGGCCCATAACCTGTTATGAATAATAATCTCTCCTTCACAGTTTCAGCAAGACTGACTTTAATTAAAACACATTAACATAAGTTTGATAAAGAAAACTACATTATATTTAAAGTCATTCATCTTCTGATTACTAGATGACACTACTAGTATCTAAGTAACCTTTTTAGTATTGATACAATTTCCCAACACTTGGCGACTCAGTTCTTCACAATCTCTACTAAGAGTATCTGCGACATACATCTGTGATCCTTTTTTTGAATATTATTTCAAGTGGTTTATGGTCTGATCAAGTCTTTACAGCCCCATATGTATGTATGAAATTTCTTGCATGCTACAAATATAGCATTGGCTTCCTTTTCCAGCTGACTATAGTCTTGTTCTGTCTTGGTGAACGACTTGGCGCAGTAGGCAATGGGCTTTCCTTCCTCCTCCACAGGCATAGTGTTGCAGAATGAAGATTGTTCCTTTTCCGTTTTTCAATTTTTTCATGAGATTATCTAGTCGTCGTTTTGCAGAGTGAAAATTATTTGGTAGTGGCGGATGCCCATCCATCCACATTAACCCAACTTCATAACGACCCTCATCATTTATAGAAATAGTTTCTGAAAATGTTTTCAATATATCGGTCTCATATTGTTTATTTGTTTGTCTTTCATTAGGATCTTCTATCCCTAAAACATCTATATTCCATAAACTAGATATATGGTTCGGACATAACAAAGAAGTATTTCATCAGTTATCACCCGAAGACGATTGTTGTGACACAACTTGGTTTGAAATCTTTCAATTTTTATTTTTTCATTTTTTGTTAATATTTTTTTTTTTTATTTTTCAGCTTTTATTAATATTTCAATTTTCATTTGTTTGTTGTATGTTATTTCTTTGTAATTTCAGTTTTTCGTTTAATAAAATTGTTATTTTCTGTTAATCTTTTTGATTTTTTTTCAGGGTTATCAAATCAATTTATATTATATTAGACAATGGAAGTCCGAACTGATATAATACACCACTAAACATTGTCAACCACCTTCAAACATAACAAAGAAGTAGCTATCAATGATAAAGATTCAGGAACATCAGACAATTCACTGGATATTTTACCCATCAGAGTCTAACCAAGTTTCATTGCAACTAAACCACTTTTCAAGATATATTGGTTTCCAGTGAATAGTTTCCCTGCAATATCTGCGCCTATCAAAATTTCAATTGGACCATCTTCAGTATCAGATATCGAAATTCCTAACTCAGCGAGTTCTAACATCCAAGGACCCTCTCGAATCGAAATAATTTGACTACAGATAACAGTTTGACTAAGAACTTCAAAATGACATTGATATTTCGCATATACATCTTGTAGCGTGACCCTATAACAATGATGATTGATAACCTCGGGAGTTTGACAGAACACATGCAGTTGGTATTGAAGATAGTAGAGTAGAAGTAGAGTAGATGTACTCGGTAAATTAAAATCAACATTTCTCTTTTTCTGGTGAATATCAAAATTAGATTTGACAAGTGAAATTCTTTGTTCATTTTCCACTTCTATTCTCGAAAAATCTATTAGTTTATCTAATTTTGATTTCGAAGTAGTGGTTGAATCAAAATTGCAACTGCGCTGCCATACTCTGGTAATTTCCTCCGGTAAGCAAGACTCAACCAGGGGAAAAATCATAGCCGCACATTTATCCGATGTTATGCCAATTGTGATTCAATTTGGTCGTGAAGATAACTAAGTTTTGCTTTAGAACCCAAATTAGTCAATATTAACTTCAATAATTCTCGAATATAAACTTCAATAAGTAGGTCTTCACGGCCAGAACGAGATTTGAGTCTCTCTATAACCTTCGTATAATTCTCAGCTGAAGAGGGATAACTTTCTACCAGTTGACGAGCTCGGGAGTTGGGTACAGTAGCTTGGATTAAGTATTGGAACTTATTTTCAGTAGGGATCGATTCATCAGTATGAATTCGGCTGAACTGTGCCCAAAATGGTAACCAATCGTTAATATCGTCACAAAATTTATTTTGTGACGATATTAAGTTTGGTAACTTGATATTTCGCATACTTTGACTTGTGTTGACAGTGGTGACAGAAGGGTGTTCAGAGAGAGTATTTTTCAGTAGATATCTATCAATTTTTGCCTTGAGTCTATTATAATTACTCAACAGTTTATCTGACCTTGTTACCTCATCATCTAAGTCGTTGGCAGGCGTATCTTCTTCCAACATATTCTCTAGCAGCTGCTTATCCAAATCTTGAATAACTTCAATCTTCTCTTCTAATAGCTTAACATTCCCCATTACGTCAGCTATATCCAAATCTGCATTTTCCATCAGTCAAACCGTTTCGGTAACGGTAACGAAGTTCGGTGGACATCTAAAGTCTTCAAAAGTTTTTCCATGTCCTGTCACGGTCGCCAAATGTCATGAAAAATTCGTAAAACAGCACCTACCCGGTGAAGAATACGTATCGAAAAGGATACAAATGGAATAAACTCTTTATAAAGACTCTAATAACTTTTCGGAAATGCAGAAAATCTCAAAAACTGTTAATCTGACAACTCTTGTTTCAAAATCTGACAAATCATCTCATTTATTTTTATGAATCAAAACACAAAACAGCCAATACTCCAAAAGTTCATGAAATCTCGACGATTTTCAATAGGACCCGAGAGAAATAAATTATCAATACCATTTCATACTGATTGATAAAAACATCCAGGTTTGAGAAGGATGTCATATATCAAGAAATTTTCAACAATATTTTAGGTTTCAATGTATGGCTGAATATGGTAATAGGGGGTTGGATTAGTTCTTTAAATATTTAATACAACATTGAATGCTATAAAAGTGTAGGAAACTGAATACTTTTCCAGTAGAATAGTGCATTTCACCATAACGGTGAGATAGTGTCAGATACTGGGGAAAAATGGATTGCAGAAAATTGTTCCACTTGAGAAGAATCACCGAATTTAACTCCTATAGACTATCTTAGTGACGAATTGTGGTAATTTCGGTGTGGTTATTCAGAGTGTAGCGAATAGGTACAATACAATTTTTTCATAGTCAAGGTATCCATCTATTAAATGTTATCGAAATGAAACCTAATATTTTTGAATCTCTTACATTATTATGGTACTGGTTATACATACCAAATAATCATACAAGTGAAATAATAAAAAAATACCACATATGATATATCATTGTATTCAGAAAGATCTGCGAATTCCAAGCATATGATGTACAAACTGTTCCATTCAAAAATTGGAATTTGAAAGAAATATGAATTTGAAAACAAACAAAAATAACTACTATAATATATTTATTTTCAAATTTCGTGCATAACAGCCAAACATTAATGAAAACTCCTAGAATTTTTTTTAATATTTAACACAAACATATATTATTTAGAGCAACACTAATAATTTTTGGAAAAAAAATCAGTTCAACATTACATATATAATACTATTTTCTTTACAATTTACTAATTATGAACTAAGATTTCTACAATTCAGTACAAATGATTTTTTATCAGTAATTGTAGTATGAATTCGGCATATCAAGAGAAGAGAGAGAATATTTTGCGAATAGGCTATTATCTAGCTATTTGAAGAAGTAGTAGCATTTTTATGATTCTCATTTATGTTATCTCTATAGTTGACTCCTTAAAGAATTACACAAAAATGCCAACTCCTGATAGGTAAAAACAATGTTATAGGTAGCAACGTTAATCACTTCAATGAAACTATAAAACTTGCACTATAAAATAATGAGCAAATGGTTAATTCAAATCATATTTATCTGATAGAATTGTTCATTACCTAAGTTTTGCAGGTTCAAGAGTTTGTAGTTGACAACAATTATTATAGGAATGAATATACAATTATTATATGGAATGTTACATGTGGATAGTTTCAAAAATGAACTTGAGATTACATGACATTTTTGTGTGTATCCCCATTCTGAAAAAACTTAACTAACAAATAATTTACTTTTTGACATTATAGCTTTTAACACAACCGATATCAATTGATTAGGCGAATAAATTCAAAAAATCTGAAGATGCAAAATCAATTTCTAAACATAGGTGCATTGATTAAATAACACATTACACTGTAACCGATACTTTAACAAACAAATATATAAAGAAAAACATCCACTAATATAATCAAATCAGTAATAAATTATTGTTTTGAAACTAGACAAAGCTGATAAAAAAATTAAGATAATATAATAATGATCACAATGATAACACTAGTAATAGTTTTGAAGTACATTATGAAATTATTTATTTACAAATTAGTTGATTTCGGATAATGATAAAATGTGAAGAGAGTGCAGGAATCAGTCACCAGTATCAAGCCATTTGCTTTCTTCTATAATTCTCCCGAAACAATCCATTAGGTAAAGGTACTACAAAAACCAAAACAAAAACGTTCTGTATAGAAACTTTGTAGAGCAAGAGCCCTTCGTTATTTATGAAAGTTGAAAGTTTTTCAACATAGATAGGAAATGATGGGCTACTATGAAGTTAGTTCTAACATTGGGCCAGACAAACTTGAAGATGAGCTGTAGATGAAAAAGTACCAGGTAATATACATCCAATGAAAATCAGAACTATCTCATGTGCATTACAAAATTTGGATTTCATTCATTCTTTCTTTTATAATTTAATTATATTTTTCTATTTTCTGTCAACGTTTCCCCATAACATATTGACTTGGATAAAATCCTATATTGATGGTCGGCTATTGATAGTAAAATACAATAATATCACGTCCAAGGAACATGATGTGACGTTAGGAGTTCCACAGGGATAAGTAATTTTTACTTTTTGTGGTATTTGTTAGTGATCACTCGGAATATGTTGACAATTGCCACATAACTATGTTTGCACATGATACCACATTGACAATCACTGGGTCATCACTGGAAGATGTATTCACTAGAGTCAAAGAGATTATTGATGGATTCACGTCATGGTGTGAACACAATCATTTAATAATGAATGCCTCTAAATCTGTTTCGATGAAATTTTATAACAGAAAAAATAATATTCCAGGTGAAATTGATATTAGATGGAATAGCGATGTCACATGATGTAAAATTTCTAGATACCATGTTAGAGGAATCTCTGGGACCTGCCTGATGGGGTTTGCAAGAAAATGCATTTCTCGCGATATATACAATGCTTCAATATACAATGCTATCTCACTTTACAATAGACTGCTCAATTCAAATCAAGGAGTCCAAATCAGATAATATCTTTAAGAATAATACAAAAATATTCTTAATAAAAAATGTTTATATATAGTTTAAAAGACTATTTGGGTGATAATTCCTGATAATAATCCCAAATGTAAAATAATATACGTGTTTGCTTTTTTTTTTTAATGTGCCACTTGTATATTATGTGCCGTGACTTATGTTTTATCTTTATATTTTATTCGAATATCGCAAACTATTGTTTTTATTCTTTATACATATACATCAGGGGTGGCCAACTTGATTAGACATAAGATCTACTGTTTACTAACGAGACCCTGTGCGATCTACCACTCACATACTTCTTGAAATCTTAAATGAAACAGCATTGTGTTCAGTACACAGTCACAAAATATTTTTATTGAACAGTCTTAGGAGTTCCTTTTCGTATCACATATGAGATTGTTTGCTTAAATTTACTTGGTACTTTGGAATGGAAGTCTGAGTTGATGATGTTTAATCAACATTTATAGGTCCTATCTGTATATTAGTGTGAGTATTGCGTCGCAGTATCTTCCACTAGTTTAGATTATTATTATTACCTATTATAATTATTATTATCCTAGCCTGTAGCCGGTTGGTTGGTGCTGGTTCGATTCTAAGTGTGGGATTTTCAACCCATGCTAGAAATCGCACCTTGAAAGATAGGATCTCGGTCATATTCAGCTCGCACAAGTTTCCAAAGGTTATAGTTTGTAGGGGGACAATAACTGGCTGCACAAACGAGTTGTGAAACATATCCTGTGTTTATAATAACTCAATACATACCAGTAAATGAAAGATGTGCAACAAATAATCTCACTCACTACCTCACTCGCATCCAATTGAATGTAAATTGCAAAATTTCATAGTAGTTCATCATTCCCTACCTTTGTTGAAGCTGTACGCTATTATAAAATAACGAAAGTTTGGCATTCACGGGCTCTTAGACTATTGCTGTGAGAACAGGTTAAAAGAATATACTTACATATGGAGTGATTATTTTTAACCATTTGGGGGATTTATCTGGCCTATTATATTTCAGACAGAATGCCATCCCTGAAAAGAAAATTGTAAAAAGTAAATAGGTATATTACAGACAGCTGTGAATGAAAACACTTCCAGAGAACTGTCTAGAATGCAATTAAAATTTTCAAACTTTTGGTTATTACTTTCAATGAAACTCTTTTGAGAATGGTCAATTAAGACTCCCATTTAGAAGACGTCATCAGCACCATCATTCGACCTATTTGAGAAACCAAATGATAGCGAACTACATACTGTATCAAAAAAGTCACCTTTACGTTGAGCCAAAGACTTTCAGTAAATTAGACGAACTCTTCAAATGTTCATATTGAAAAAAAAATCTGAATAAAAAAACTTGCTGTATATATACGTCTGTATGTGAATATGTGTGTATATGATATGTGTGAATATGATATGTATGTACGTGTATATTTATATACTGTATTTATACGTACGAGATTGTATTTGTGCTAATATATGGTTATATTGTGTTAATGTTTCGTTTCATATCCCTTGTTATTTATTCTTTGTGGTATGGTCTTCTAGTGTTATAATCATCAGTATGTATATATTTGTGTGTGTGTGTGTGTAGGTTTCCCCATATTTGTGGTAATAGTCGTATACATTCATTTTGTGGTATACATACACGCGTATACCACAAAATTCTGACGATATTTTTGTACTCTACGCCTAAGATTTGATTAGATCGGCTAGAAACGGATTTTTTCGAGTGTAAGTATCCACAAATCCCTTTAGTGACCGATATCTTACACACGTATATTTGTGGTAACCCCTCACTTTGCTGCTTTGAGCGCCCTCAATGGCGTCAAAATGAATTCTTGTGTATTCATTTGTGGATACCCGGTGAATATCCGGTTTTCATTGTAATTTTATATCGCAGTGTGGAAGTGAAACCTGAATTCCAATATTAGTGGAACCTGAGTCAAAATCTAGTATATTAATAGAATACGGGTTTATAACCAATCAGACAAGGATTGATTGGTAGTTTTGAAAAGATAAGCTCTTACCAATAATTATAAAACGATATCGAAGAATGAGGTTAGGTCTTCTTTAGATAAACTTCGAGAAATTTGTATCTGTGGAAATGCAATGCTCATATTATTTGCATGTGCCGAGTGTTTTGAATCATAACATTTTATTTTTCTATTTTTATAAAAATGCACTGGAAAGAAAATAATTATTTTTTTTACGGTCAATCTAGGTTATTCTGTGAGTTCCAGATTCAATAGCTTGCCACGGATACAAAACAGGATATCATGCCAGGCAACATTTTGAATCTGTTACTCACACTTTTAGTGCATTTGTTTGAAAGCTTGTTTCCAAACAGTTTTTTTCAATATTATTTTTTATTTACCATTTATGGAATTTGATTGTTTTCGAATTGAAAATGGACATTGTTGAGAATATGTTGATGAATAACTATATTTTGGCAGAAAAAATCTCAGATTTGTTATTTTACAATTATCGCACTTTCAATGTTGCTGTTCAGGTAGGAAAAATATTAATCAACTAATGCATAATTAATTGGAAAATAATGAAAAAAAACATTTTTGCTACCGATTATTGTTCATTCATCTATTCAGAAGGTGCCTGAATTCTTTCAATTCTTAATTTAGATATTCAATCAGTTTGAATAATAATTATCCATTAAAGGTCTAAAGTGGTCGTGTTTTGCGCAAGCTAGGGTACCCGATTTAAGACCCTATGGGCAAATTATATATATTGGTCCTACACTTTCGAGAGGTTGAACTTTTTTGGAAAATTTCCTCTTTTTGAATTTTTTTTAATTTGAAAAATGTAAAATAATTTTTGAGATATTTGCAAAAAACCAAACCCCATTTTAGTCTTTCAGTCAATTGTTTATAACTTTTGCAATTTTTTGCAAGCAGCACATGATTTTTTTCAAAAATCATCTACATTCTATTTTGAATTGAATGACAGCTCGTTCATATTTCTCGGAGGCGGAAAAAAAGTTTGACTTGAAAGGCACTTGTTCACCAGACTATTATCTCATCTGTAAATTGAATTATTTGCTGGGAGAACAAATTGACCGTTGCTGGTGTTTTTATCATGAAAATGAGTAACTACGAACTTGATCTACATACATTTAGTGGAATAATTTGTTACATGAAAACTACCTCAATATCTCATCCCCGAATCGAAATATTCACTAGGACCAGAAAAAACTCCCGTTCATGTGAACTATGTTTATGTCCTAAATTTCAAATTGAAGATCTTATATAAAATCGAAAGATATATTTAAAATTGATTCCTACTGCGCACATACTTGCAAAAAAATATTCATTCCATGGAAAATGCAGACACACTGTATGACGAATACTAATAAAATATTTCTCTGTGATGCTGATGAGACAGCACAACCTCTCTACATTGTCCACGAGATGAATAATTGATAATATTTTTTCAGTCTGTGAAAAATGATCACAAGAAGTCGAAGGTTAGTTGCACTTGCGTTGAAAAAAACTGGAACAGAGCACCAACATTCTCCAGAATACCAAACCTGTGATTCAATTCCACCAGCTCCTAGAAAAAAAATACAAATAATGTTTGTTTGAACACTCATACAGCTGATTCTTTTGGGGAGGCAAACAATGAAATGAGTTATCGCCTCTTAGATCTTCCAAATTATGAGTATACCAGAACTTCAAGTCAGGAAGAAACAAATTCTCATCTCACCATTCTCAAAAGTTATGGTCTTGATAACAAAATCACAATACATGACGTTCTAGACAATGAGGAAATTGAATATCCATGCTCGAAGGAAAATAATAATTTCAGTTCTGAAATTTATCAATCTCATACTGAGTCAAGGACTCCAGCTAATACCATCATAGATAGTAGTGGACCGACTACAGATGATGATGCGGGGTTGTACTCAAGTTTGCTTCAGTTGAGCAGTTCTGATTGTTCAGCAGAGATCGATATTCAGAAAAGTATAACTTTCGATAATAATTATCCAGCTCAAAAAACAGAGCCCAAAAAACTTATCTCTGAACGTCTTAGGCTGGACAACATATCAAATGAGGAAGAAATTCAAATTTCGAGCTCGCTCAAAACGGAAAGTAACATTGAAAACTCAACCCAAATGAATAGTTCCAATGCAGGAAATATGCCTGTACTAACTGTTGACGAATCTTATTATGAATCTATTGGAAATAATACACATCATGCGAACTCCAGTGCTGATATTACTCATGCTGACCTAAGTTGGTACTTATCGGAGGATTGTAATGTTGAACATAAATCACCAATAAACAACATTCCTGCGAATAATGATAATCAGCAAAACAATACCTTCGGAAGATCTCCTACCGATTCATCTAGAATTGTTTGTGATGAATCACAAACAGCGGGAAGTCGAGAAGTTAATATTTCTGGATCCCATTCAAAATCATCAACTGAGAATGATACCAGCTCAGGAAAAGACAGGTTCCGAAAAGCTCTAAGAGTCAAGAAAGAATTTACAGCTCAATTGGGTTTGAGCGATTCCTCCGAAGAAGATCCGTTTGCAGCTTCTGATGATGGGGATAATGATAACGTGCCATCATCAAATTCATCAATTGAGCCGTGCAATGAAAACGATTCATGTTTTCCAAATCACTGCGTAAAAAAGTGTACCAAGAATTGTAAATGCAAGAAAATCAGACGTCGACAACTCAATGAATATAAACGAACCGAAAAAAAACACGATGATACCGATGTATCCGACATGAAAAACTTGTGTGTTATTCCATTTTCAAAATCAAAAAGCAATAAAAAACGGAGATTGGACAGGAATAAAAAATCAAATGAATATGAGAAAAAAATCAAAAGCAAGTATCTGACGATTCATATGACGAGGAGGGAGTAAAAATAACACACACACAAAGGAAAAAAATATGTCTGGAAACCGCATTAAAAATGAATCTTACTCTTGCTACATATGTCAGAGGCTCGTCATAAATATCTCAAGACATTTAAAATCAGTTCATGCCATTGATAAGTCGGTTGCAAAGATATTAGCCTTACCAAAAAATTCACTAGAGCGTCGAAAAGAGTTTGCTAGGATCACACGGGAAGGACATTTTTACCACAACTGTGAGGTACTTCAAAAGAAAAATGGTGAGCTGATTCACTCATCATGTGAAGTTCAGTTGTACCGAGAAAACTATACAAAATCCGTCAACTCGCAAACCTTTAGGTGAAAGCAACGCCATATTGGCATGAATGCTCGGAAATTATGATTCTTCAGAATTCACTGAAAACATCCTTTTGAAGATGAGGAGTGATGAAATCACAAGAGTTTGTAGAGAAGATGAGCTTATAGTGAAACTGGAATATATGATGTTTGAACGATATGATATCACCCAAAGAGAGTTGATCAGACAGTCAATGAGGCAAATCGGTAGATTATTGCTGGAAATTCAAAAAACTAATTCACACATTAAATCGCTAAGCCAATGCTTACAACCAAGATATTTTGATGGTGTTATCAATGCTACCAAATCATTATGCTTGACATTTTCTTCTGTCACAAATAGGCCACAATTTGGAATACCTTCATTGGCAGTAAAATTGGTTATCCTTTGAAAAAATGTGCAAACTTTGAAAGAGGTAATGCTTTGAGGATCGGTGATATAAAAAAAAATAAAGAGTTACAATTGTTCTTGGCACTGATGGATATAGAATGGAGTATACGGATTTCATCAAATGCTCTCAATACTCTACATGTTAGGAAGTTTAACTGTACCCAGCTCTTACCAATCACGAGCGACCTGATCAAACTGAATAATTACCTAGAGTCCGAAATGAAAAGACTTACAGAACAAATTGAAGTAGATCAACCATCGCGGGACATATGGTACCATTTAGCCTCAATAACCCTCAGTAAGATAGTAGTTTTCAATAAGCGAAGATCTGGCGAGACTTCCAAAATGACTGTCAAGCAATACTTAACGAGACCCCTCTGGTCTGAACAAACAACAGAAGAGTCGAAGAATGCAATGGCTGATTTTGAAAAACAACTTGCAAAACATTTT